TCATCAAGCATCATCATGAAAGGCTGCAGTACCAAGGACGGGCTATGAGCTGCGAGCCAACAGTGTTTGGCTTCTTGGAAGCAGTAAGGCAGTCTCTTCTCATTTACTGTTGCACATTATTCAGGAGTTTTACATGAAAAACTGTAGAACAAAGGATGACAAACCTCCCACAGTAACACACAGAGTTTACTCCACCTTTCAAATACTGTGGGATGGATTGTATGAGCTTATCTACGTCAAAGATGGAAGAAAGGAGCTTAAATGTTATGGACTTTTACTCACATGCACGTGCTCAAGAGCCATACATATTGATATGCTTGAAGAATTAACAACTGATGCATTCATCAATACTCTGAGCTCATTTGTCATTTTGCGTTGAAGTGTCAAAAAAATTCAGTGTAGTCAAGGCAGCAACTTCATTGGTGCAAGGTGCAAGTTTGCTAAAGCCATGAAAGAGATGGATGGAGGGAACCTCAAGAAATTTAGATATGAGTTTGTTATAAACACAACATCTGCAAGTTATCAAGGTGGCTTTTGGGAACGCCAAATATACACTGTGAGTAATGTTCTGGTATTTGTTCTCAACCGATCAGCTGAAAAGCTTGATAAAAGTAAGAACATTAATCTATGAGGTTATGGCAATTGTGAATAGCAGGCCATTAACAACAGAGCATTTGCACAGTTCATCTGGTCCAGAACCCTTGACACCTAACCACATCTTGACAATGAAATCAAGCATCATTGCTCCACCTCTTGGAAAATTCATTAAAGAAGATCTGTACTTGCAAAAATGATGGTGCAGATTACAGTTTTTAGCCAACAGCTTTTGGGCATGGCAGTAAGAGGAATATCTGTTGAACCATATTGCACTGGCAAATTGGAACAGGGTAAGACAAAATGCAAAGGTCAAAGCAGGGTTTGAAGAAAATTTAGATGATGACGACCCACACACAGATACTTGACAAACTGACTAAATAAAAAGAGAGCTGCTTTATTACAACTTTTGCCAAGTTACAATAAAGCAAAATAACAAACTCTATGAACAGATGGGAATAACCCAAAAAAGCCAAGAGAACACAAAGACAAACAGGAAAATGAACAGGATGCTGAGACAAAGACTGAGGGAAAGACGGCACTAATTATATAAAAAACAGTAATCAGGAAGTTGGATAGAGGAGGGCAGGAAGATGCAGCTGAAGACAATGACAATGGGACACGAGAGAAAGGAAAATTAATTGCAAAAGACAGGAAAGAAAAATAAACCAATGTAAATCATTGGTATGAATATGAATAACAACTATACTGAAAAGGAGACAAAGAGGACATAAGGGGAACTTACTAGAAGTGAAGAAAGAAGGATGAGATGGAATAAACAGTGATACAAAATTACTTAAACTCTATGAAAACAACTTGTAACTAGTAAAAAATTATAATAAGAATGGGGACAATACCACAGAATAAATGAAAATCAAGCCTAAGTGATAAACAAAAAGAACACTTAATGATAAACATAAGGACCACCGTATAGGACCACCTAGGGGTCATGTTAGGATTGGCCAAATTTCATTTTTATTTACCATGTATGACTGTATGATTATTCATTCACCCTATTACATCCTAAGCCGTTCTTGTCTTATGAAATCTAAAACTAGCCATAAATTTAAAAATACCAAAGTAAAGCAACCTGTTTCCTTTCAGCTCGGACAAAGCTGTGATACAGCTCCTCACCTGTCAATTACGATGTACATCCAGCCTTTAAATTATTGCCTTATTGTGGCAGTTGGCTATGGTCACAGAAAGCTGCACCTATTTCAATATCATTGGGTACTGTAGCACTCTAATACAGGCATGTTCATCTCCCATTAACAATGGTTGGAGCTAGGTAAATTGTGGGGACAGCAGCTTTTTTCTGATGGTTTGTACATTTACATTATGGATAATCCTCTGGTCCTGATAAACCTGATGGGAGAGCAGCGTAGGTTTCAGTGGTCTGAGATCAGTTGCGATCTGCACTTCATATGGCAGTTAGCTTTAGCACAGATGAATCTCCTCTTCCTAACCACCTTGGTCAACATGTGGGATCCAGAGAAGATGGAATTTGAAAAAGTTGTTAACTCCCATATTACATTAGCCAGATAAGCTGTGACGATGATAGAGAGGGTATATCAGCACAAACCATCTAATAACACAAGGAAGTTGACCATGTGCAAGTTCAGCAGCACTTTCACATTAGTCTCTATATGAATAGAGACTAATGTGAAAGTGCTAATGTGAAAGAATTAGTTAGCTTCTTAAATGTTTCATTACATTGTATGTAACTATGTATAATTACTGACTATCTGTTAATTCCTGAGCAGTGAACTCAGGAATATTTTACATAACTCTGAATCAGCAGTATTTTATGTCATCAATAACGGTAGTTTAATTTTCTACTGGTGGCACCAATTGACTTTATACCTAAAAATGTATTGACTGAAAATATCACAGTGTGGAGATATGTAAAAACGACAGGAGAGGTCTCAGTGTCTCACTCCAACTTTATTACTGAGCCAGCACAATTTCACATACAGAAAAGCACCAAAATCTCCACCCCAGCACTTCCCTTCAACTTGGGTGTGAGTGGAGCCCACTGGTGGTCCGCCACACGTGTTTATACTCACATGAACATCCAATTGTTGGCATAAGAAAGCGAAACTGAAAGATCGTGTCTCAGAAATTTGGTCTGTTAAAAATTTGCATGCAATTTATTTGAGCTCTGGCATAATTTTCTATTCTTTGTGTGCAGCTTTTTTAAATAAGTATGCAATGTCTTCAAACACAGGTGCATTGTTATCTATGTTAATTCACTGTTTAGTGAATTGTGGGAAGGCCATTTAAGACACATCAGCCTGTGGGTGGAGCTCAGCATACGCCTATTTGTATTTAATAAGTCAAATTAAATCAGGTGTGGTTAGAAATGGCTCTCCAACTGTTTGTCTCCTGTTTCTCCGTGATAACTATTCTTTTATGCAAAGGTGAGAAAGAAGTTTGATTTTTATTTAAGTATTTATTTGTATTTGTATTTAATATTTTTCTCATTATTACAAGTTCAATCGCACCTCTTTAAAGACTATTGCAGATGGAAATGTGTTCTTTAGATACTCAAACAAACTTGTGAACCTGCTAATAGGTTGATGCAACATTGGAATATGAGTCAAAATGGATCAAAGAAGGAACTCTTTTTTTTAAAATCCACCTGAGAATTAAATACATACTAGATGAAGACAGAATTACTTTTGAATTTTAATGTAATAAAAAGCAAATCAGTTAAATAACTACCAGATTGCCTGTGACGATTCACATTGCTGTATTTGATATCAATTTTTAAATAGAAATAATAATAAAAAGCAGCAATAGTGTTTTTATACTGACAAATAGAACGTCAATAGAAAGTAACTACCTGTTGACTGGCAGTGCTGAATTCAATAACACTGTAGTAATCAAGAGTAACAATAAAGGGCAAGTTTTGGTTCAATGTTAACAATATCTACTGAACTGGTTAATAACAGGTTTGTTGACCAGTGACATTATCTGGATGATTATTGTAAAGTTGTTTATAAAACTTTCTAAATGGTTACTAATGCTCCAAGACATAATTGATGAGAGAATAGATCCAAGAAACATATTTCCATTCTCTTTGGAACACGCTTCCTAATGCAAGCCTGGTTTAACATATTTATTTTATGTTCCACTTTGCAGATGGTCGTTCACAGCAGCCTGGTAAGTATCCAAGAACAATTTAAGAACTTCAAGTTTCAAGTTTGATTTCAACCTTGTTTGTTTCCTCTGAGCTACGACATAAATAGAGGCAATAGACAGTATTAGTCTCATTTGTTTGTACAATAAACAAATGAGGATGCTACTCATTTGTTTCTCATTTTGCTTTTGTAATGTCTGTATTGCTAAGGAGGAGACTTTTCTGTCCCCCTTTTGTGTCTTGTGCACAAACATATACACAGAGCTTTCAGTTAAGTTCAATTAAATCATAAATATCAGATTTAATATGAGCTAATAATAATAATTATATATACACACACACACACATATATAGTCACTAGAAGCTCCTCAGAACGCTCACTTTAAGCAGAAACTGGAGAGATATGGCTTGGTGAAGTGACATGCTCAGGAAATGAAAGTTCTCTAGCTCAGTGTTCAAACGGTGGATTTGGAGTAAATGCATGTAACCATT